AGTTGGAGTCTCACTCTATCGCCCAGGCTGGAGTGCAGTAGCATGCTCACAGCCACAGCAGCCTCGACATGCTGGGCTCAGGCTGTCATTCCACCTCAGCCTTCCAAGTAGCCAGAACTACAGGCGGGTGCTACCATGCCCAGCTAATTTTGTGATTTATTGTAGAGATGAGGTCTCACCAAGTCGCCCAGGCTGGTCTCAAACCTGTGGGCTCAGGCAATCCTCTCACCTCGGCCTCCCAAAGTGCTGGGATTGCAGACTCGAGCCTTTTCCACTAGCAATTTCATCTTTGACTCCAATGTTAGATGTGTTTGCAAATAAAATAGCTATATCAGCTGCTTTTTTTTTCTTTTTTAGCATCATTATAGGAATGTTCTTTTAAAAAAACAAATGCAAATTTTTTGGAGGCTCCTTCACCTGGTAGCCTGTGAGGAATTGAAATATTCACAGTATGAAAACTAGCTGTGAATCCAATATACAATTTTCCTCTTCATTAAAACACTTTCTCACGACCTGTCTAGTATCAGAATGAGTACTAATATGGTCTGTCTCCCTAACTGGGGTGTCATCTACCAGAGTGCAGGGACCTTGTCTTGATATCCTTTTGTCTTCCTAATGCCTAGCACAGGTTGTGTAAACGCCCCTTACGTATTTTTGAGTTAAATTTAAACAAAAGTGAATCTTACTTGTTTATCAGTTACATCTAAACCTATATTTTGATTACATGATTAAAGTGTATTTTTAATTTGCTTATTTCCCTGATTCTATTTTAAAAAATAATGGAGACATAGGAAGTAAAATTGCCAGCCGTCTGCATTTAGACAAAGCTGCCTAAACACTCTATGCCGCCATCTAGTGGGACAAAAGGCTCTGCGGCCATCTAGTCCATTCTTGTTTAAGGTAGTAGCAGAGTCTGTGTTTAGAACAATGTCAGAGAGGATCGGACTGAAATTGAGGGGATGGGAGGGGACACGGTGGAGGGTCCTCCCATTAGCCACGTGCTGCCTAGGGTAGTTGCCTTTTGGAGCTTGGCGTCACGGTAGAGGAAGCCTCCTATGTGGCTTTGCAAACAAGCACATCATGATAAACTCTGAGCAGAGTTCTTGGCTGTGGTTCTATTTGTGGGTTGTAATTTAGGCTGTGGGATAGTCCCGTCAGAACAATGCAGCTTTTAGAAGAGAAAAGTCATGGTTTTATTAGCATAAGTGCTACACACACACACACACACACACACACACACACACACACACTGCTTTGTTTCACTTTCTTCCTAATTCTTGGTCCTGTTGTCTTTCTTGCCAGGTCCTGTTATAGCCGTACTGCCTGTGGCTCAAGACAGTGTCCTTAATACAAAACTGTATTTGTCCCTGAAGAAGGGGAGTCCCCAGCTCCCTGTCTCAGCCTCTGATGATGACTACTGGGGCTTTTCATCCAAGTTGACTTTATTTTTTTATAAGCAGGACTGACAGTGAACGTTCTGAGGCCCCTGAACCAGTCAGAGATTCCTCTTCCCTTAAGTTTACTTTTATTTCTTTGATTTTGTTTTCTTCTCTCACCTCTCCCCTGACAGTTCTTGGAGGAAATCCTGTGAGTTCCTTGTGTCCTCTTTTTCTTCCTCTAAATATACACCAATATACACACAAGCAGATATGCACAGCTGAGGGCCCTGGCCTAGATCCCTGTTGGAAAATGACTCTTGAGGAAATCAGAGAAAACTCACTTAAGTCATGCATGAAGAGAATCCCAAGGGTGAGCCTGACAGGTAGGCTGAGCTGACACTGGGCCATGTCTGATGGGTTATCAGAAATTAGGGCAGAACTATTCAGTCACATCTGAATAGTGACTGGGAGATTTCATCTTTTATTTCAGCTGAGATCAAAGACAGAGGTGGCTTGCTTAGAACACTACTGAGAATAATTCTGGGGCCACATCTGGATATAGTGAGGGAAGAACTTAGGGATATATTAGGAAGGTCAGAGATAGTCATGGATGGGCTAGTGAAAGCATTGCAATATTGGCTTTACATGCAAACGGTTTCTTGGAGGGCTAGCAGTGAAATGCCATTCGCTGTTAACTTCTTGGCACAAATTCAATTATTAGATTAGCCGCCCATTACAAGGCACTAAGAGAATGGAGTCACAAAATAGATGAGGTTGTTTTTAATGGCTTATTTTTCCTTTTTATAAAATGGAGGGAAAATTCACATAGCGTAAATTTCACCATTTAAACCACTTTAAATCGTATGACTCAGTGACTTTTAGTACATTCACAAGGTTGTGCAACCGTCACCACTCTAATTCTAGAAACTTTTCATCACTCCAAAAAGAAACTCCTCACCCATTAAGCAGCTACTCCCAATTCTCCCCTCCCCTTAGGCCTTGGCAACCACTGATCTGCTTTTTTGTCTCTATGGATTTGCCTATTTGGACATTTTTTAATAAACGGAATCATACAATATGTAACCTTTTGTGTCCAATTTTTTTTCCACTGAGCATGTTTTGTTTTGTTTTGTTTTGTTTTGTTTGAGTTGGAGTCTCGCTTGGTCGCCCAGCCTGGAGTGCAGTGGCCGCTCCTGGCCACTGCAGCCTCGGCCTGCTGGGCTCCGGCGATCCTTCTGCCTCAGCCTTCCGAGTAGCCGGAATTACAGGCATGCGC